CGCTGTGGGTTTCAGGGTGAAGATCTTCTCTCACTGCTCTAAAGGGCCCCTTTGGCAGTAGGAAACACATAGACTATTATGGAGATTGATTTTGGGATTTAGATGCACTCTTATTGATTGTGTGGGCCGTACAAGGATTTACTTTCATAAATAATTTATTATATTCTAGTAAATGAGCGCTTTGTAGAACGATAAGGAATTGGATGCTATTTTCTGTTGTTGGACTTTTGAAAATTTTGACCTTATTATTTTGTCTAGATTATAAAAGTCTCTGGACCTTTCAAAGCAGATTGTGATCATGAGCACTATTATTTTATTTCTTGAAATAGTGAACATCACTAAGAGTATCTTGTTAGATAACATCTCCACCTACTTTTTATGTGTTAAGTATATCATAAGTTCTCTTTTCTTTTTGATTTTAGGACTATGTTTTTTCAGCTATTTTCAACAGTACTATGGTTCATTCTTTGCCTGTGTTGATGAATATCATTAGTAACTATTACCTCTATCATCTAAATGTGACTGAAAACATCCAGATCTGGAGTACTCCATTTTTTCAAGTAAGCAAAATTAAAAAAAAAACAAAACACCAAAACCCAACAACCCCAAAACAGGTCATCTTACGCATCTATACGTACTCAGTACACTTAGTATGTGTGTGTGTATGTGTGTGTATACGTTTGTTTACACCTATTTATACCCAGAACTCTTTCTTTGCTAGAACTAAATCACCACTGATCCCCAGAGAAGTGAAACCTTTGGGTCAGCATCACAACTCCATAAAGAGTTTACTAGTCTTCTTAAAACTCAAGTGAGAGATGCAAAAATTCACATCAGTATACTATCAAACTAAATCCATAGCCATAATAATAGGATTGTACACCATAGTCAAGTGGAATTTATCGCAGTAAGGCAAGGGTGATTCAGCATTAAGAGATCAATATATGTAGTGACTAAGGATGATAGAAGAAGAATCAATGTCTTTGAGTTGTGGTGCTGGAGAAGAGTCTTGATCATACCATGGACCTCCAAGAGAACAAACAGCTCTGTCCTGGAGAAGGTGAAGCCAAGTTTCTCCTTGGAGGCAAGGATTTTGAAGCTCTGGCTCATATACTTTGGGAGACCAGTCCTTGGAGAGGGGCATCATGCTTGGGAAGGTGAAGAGACAGCGGAAGACCCAGGATGAAATGGATTTGACTCAGTGACTGAGGTAATAGGGGTAGGTGTAAATTGGCTCAGGGTAGAGCAGGATTCAGAGGTGTTATGGATAGGGGTGCTATGAGTTACAAGTGACTCGATGGCACATAAAAACAGAAAACAATGTATTTACAATAAAGCACAGGAAAAAAACCCCCACATGATCATCTCAGTGAATGCAAAAAGTCACTTGACAAATCCAGCGCTCTTTCATGATGAAGACAGTCAAGAAACTAAGACTAGAGGGGAAATTCTTCTATATGGTGTGTAAGTCTTTTATGGAAAAATTGGGAAAGGCGGATACTTAAGATCAGAAATGAGACAAGGATTACCATGTTTAGTACTGCTGTTAGAAATTGTGCTGGACCACTTCTCAGCCTTTTGGCTAAGACCAAGTACAGAGATTATACGGAAGTCCTAGCCAGGGCAATTGTGGGGTGGGGAGGGGGGAAATAACAAGGTATGCAAATATAGAAGGAAAAAGTAAAACTACCCCTTCTGGCAGAGGATTTGGTCCTCTCTACAAAACATATTAGTGAATCTACAAGAAAGCTGTTAGAGTTACTGAATTCAGCAAAGTGAAAGCATACAAAATCGACACACAAAAGTTAGCTGAGTCTCTATACATCAGCAATGAGCTTTCTGAAAAGAAAGTTCCCATTCCATTTACCACAATTCAGAATTTAAACTTAGCAAACATGGCTTTACGATATTACTATGTATCCGTAACTCTGAGAAATGATCTTACAGCTCATCATTTCCATTAAACATTGGCACCTTTCATACTGTTGTTTAAAACCAGGGGGAGAAAAATGGGATTTTTATAAGGTCAAAGTATCCATAAATGTTGTTAGTTACCATTGAGCGAGCCACTCTGCCGCAGAGCGAATCCTGCCTGATCCTGGACCTGCTCTCGGCTTCTCCGTGTTCACACTCACTGTCACAGTCACTGTGTCAGTCTGTCTTGCTGAAGGTTTTCTTCTCTGCTCACCAGCTTTCCAGGCATGACGTCCTTCTCTCAGAACCAGCCTCTCCTAATAACATGCCTGAAGTGTGTGAGACAGAGTCTCATCCTGTTTGCTTCTAAGGAGAACTCTGACTGCACCTCCTTCAGAGGGAGAGATTGGTTCTTTTTGCAGTTCTGTTCTTTATCTACCCCACCATTCAAAGGCCTCAGTTCTTCAGTCTTTCTGATCTGCTGTTCAGCGTCCGGGTGCATTCACCGGGGCTTGGATCAGACACACCTTAATCTTTAAAAGTGACACCCTTTAATGTAGTCCTATTAATATTTCACATTTTTTTTCTTTCTTCATCTGATAGTGGGTGATTGATTTCAACTGTAGTAGAGTTTCTCAGAATTATATATATTTTAAGTGGCAAAATTAGTATTGTAGCCTCCTGCCATTCTTGTATTGTAGCACTACCTGCCATTCTTTCAAATCAATTTTGCTAAGTAGTCTAATGTATTCTTCAGAAACTTTTTTTCCTAATCCTTGGAGAAGGACATCATGTTTGGCAGAGTGGAGGGACGGCGAAGGAGAGGAAGACCTTTGATGAGATGGATCGACTCTGTGACTGGAGCGGTGGGAATAAGTGCGTTTGAGATGGCTAGTTTGGCACAGGACAGAACAGCATTTAGAGCTCTTGTACATAGGGTCGCTATGAGTCACAAACAACTCGATGGCACATAACAGCAACAACATGTACTATGGGCTCAGGTGGACCAGAAATGGTGAGGATGACTCAAGAACAGGGCGGGGTCTAGATCCGTTGTTCATAGGGTCCTTGTAAGTTGCAGTCAACTCAGTGACATGTAACAATAGCAGCAACAACTATATACTAAGAGCTCTGGTAGAATAGAGTTATCCTGTACCGGGCAGTTGACCTAAATGTCAGCAGTTCAAATCCACCAGCTCCTTGCCCTGTAGGAGAAAGATGACCAGTGTCCTATAGTCAAGCTTTAGTCTTGGAAACTCTGGTGAATCAGTCGCTCTGAGTTGGAATTGACTTGACAGCAGTGATTTCCTTGTTTTAGCGTTAATATGATACAGCTCTCGATACCATTTTTTATTCTGTGGTTATCTTTCAGGAAATTACTGACATCGTTTTTAAAGTTGAGCTGTATTTTCAAGCCGCTTTGCTTGGCATCATTGTCACTGCAATGCCACCTTACTTTGCCATGGAAAATGCCGAGAATCATAAGGTAACAATTCAATTAAAAAGAATTATGAGTACTGTTTGCTAATTAGAAGGTAAATACTAAAAAAACTGATCTAATTTTACATGAGTACATGACTAATATAGAGAATTGATTTCATTAATAAGTCAATGGAATATAAAATCTATTATAATTGCTAATATAATATACATAGAGTAATAACTAACATTTGTTATATGTGCATGTGCTTTGTTTTTTAAATAGTGTGTTCTTTAATCCTTACAACACTGTGACATAAATTTTATTATCCGTTTTATGTACTAATTTATATTGTATGAATAATGAGCTTAAGCCTCATAGTAGATAATTGCATCTTGAATAAATATATTCAGTGAAAAGTACTACATGAGCCTCAGAAGATAGTTATAAAAAGAGAATACTTATTTTTTGCATTATAAATTATGTAATTATATGCATTATAAATTATAAATTATGTTCGTTTTAGTAACCCAGAAAGTATAGAAAAGCATAAAATAGTCATTTTCTATAACGCCGCTAATAAACTTCGGCCTCTAGAGCTTTACTTGGTCGAGATGTCGTCTCTCCTTGGGATCATACAGTATTTGTCTTTTCTGTGACTGACATATACCTAGCATAGTATTTCCATATTTCCCCACTGGTGCACAAGTTTCTGTTTGCATCCCTACTTTTAGTTATTTTGAGGCTCTGTATCTGTGATTGAAATTGCTGGGTCCTGTGATCTGTGTTCAGGCTTTTAGAGGAATGCCAAACTTTTTCACAGCATTTGTACCATTTTGCCTTTCACCAGCAGTGAGTGAGGTTTCTTATTTCTTATATTCTGACTGATAATCAGCATCTATATTCCCCCCCCCCCTTTTTTTAAACTCATACCTCCTCTAATGGGAATGAAGTTGTATCTCATTATGGTTTTGAGTGGCCTACTGGTAAGAAGCTGCACTGCAACCTTAAAAATACGGTGTTTGAATCCACCAGATTCTCTGAGGGAGAAGGTGGGCAATCTCTGTGCTGTTTAATTGCTTCTGAAAACCCACTAGAGAGTCAGCCAAGAGTCGGTTCCAACTCAGCGGCACACAACCACCACCACAACGATGATTAATGAGCTCTGTTTGGCGTAGTTTGGAGGGAGTGGGGCTGGTAACCCAAAGGTGACTCCTTGCTACTGCTTCAAATCCACCAGTAGCTTTTCTGAAGAAAAAGGAACAGTTTCTTCCAGTGCCGTTTACAGCCTTGGAAACCCAAGGGAGGGTCACCTATGAGTCAGTTCTGAGCTTTTTTTGAGAATAATTAATGACGCTGAGTATCTTTCCGTGTGTGTTGGCTACCCGGTAGATCATCTTTGATGAGAAATCTATTCGAATATTCTACTCATTTTGTGTTTTTGTTTGTTTTTTTTTAATTGGCCTGTCATTTTGTTAAGTCATAGAAGTCCTTTATCTATTCTGGATATTAGACCCTTATGGGTCTTTTTATTGATGATAGTTTTATGGTATTGATTCATCACAGTTTGTTTATTCTTTGAAAGACATCTGAATTATTTCTAGTTTGGGACTCCAATGAATAAAAAGTTACTATGAACATAAATTTTCATTATTCTCGAATAAATGCTCATGGGTCCAGATGCTGGATTGTGTGGTGGTTGCATGTTTAATAAGCTCCTGACATTTAATAAATGTCTAGAGTGACATTTAGTATTCTCTCCAACGCTGTGCAAAAGGGAATAGCAGATTATCCAAAATAATTGTGCCTGAGTTGGCTTGTGTTGAATACTTTAATCGAAATGTATCTATTTTTCCATTTCACCGATCACAAGAACTTTCCAGTTTTTCTTGTTCCTCCTCTTTTGAATGACTCTCAGTTCCATATTCCCCTTAAAGCCATTGTATGGGCAGCTCTTTCTTAACATATTTTTGTGGCCTGATATTTTGTTGATAAAAGGTTTACCCTGTCTTAAAAAAATCAACTGACAAAGATTGTTAGTTATTTGGATTTATAAAAGACTTTGAAAATTTTTGGTTAAACAATGAGGACATAATGAGATTTAGGAAAACTAAGATCTTTTACATTCCCAGTGTATTTAAAAACGCTTTCTGTTTGCAGTAATTACAAGTTATATTGTACTATACAAAATTATATGAAATGCTTTCAGAGACATGATGTATATAAAGTTTCACACTTTAGCTAAAAGCCCTGTGTAAATCCAACTTATTAATGCTTTTATGAAAGGCTAATTTTTTAAAGTTAGAATTCTTTTCCTGTTTAAAATATATCTTTTTATCTCTGCCAACAAATTTTTAAAAGCAAGAGTGTTTTGCTTCCTCTGGTAATGAATCACTGTTTATACAGGCATAACCCCTACAACATTTTTCACTTTATTTTAGTTTTATGCTTCTTAGCAATATTGTTTTATTGTTTCTTAAAAAAATTTATTGAGTTATTTATATCAGAAATAAGAGCCAAATAAAAGGTTAAATGGAGCTTAATATTTAGCAAGATGAGAAGTTTTATTACTGATAAATTCAGAATGTGACCTTTTTTGTTTAATGGCTGTATTATTGACTAAAATTAATTTTGTAGAACTTGTTAAATATTTAAACTCTTCTTTTTTTTCTTTTTAGATCAAAGCTTACACTCAGCTTAAACTTTCAGGCCTTCTTCCATCTGCATATTGGCTTGGACAAGCCATTGTTGATATCCCGTTATTTTTTATTGTTCTTGTTTTGATGCTAGGAAGCTTATTTGCATTTCATTATGGGTTATATTTTTATGCGGTGAAGTTTCTTTCTGTGGTAAGTTCCCTTAGTGTACTCACGTTATTAGTTAATAACGTAAAATTTCCTAAAAAGGTTCATAAACATGGCAACTGGCTGGTTGAGTATTTTGAATGTTAATTTTAAAAGAAGATGAAAGCAATGTTTAGTTAATTTGGTACATAATATCTAAAATTCATGTATTTTAGATTTTTAGAAGCCATAACATACTGCCTTTATAAAAGAACTTCTCACAATTGACATGGTCTGTCATATACATAACTTACTTGTGTGTATACAAGGAAGAGCACTTCTATTTCCTTTAATACAATGTCTTTCCTGTGTGATGTTATACCTGAAAATAATTTAAGAAAAGAAGAAATTATTTTATCTTATAACTTAATACATAAGTGTTGAGGACTCTCCTTCATAGGGTCGCTATGACTCGCCTGCTACTCGACGGCACTTAACAACAACAGCAACATAATATACTTCTTGAACCATTAAGGAAGAGTTTAATTTGGATTCATGTGCATATGTAAATGACTGATAATACAGCAATGCATATGAGTGCTTTTTGTTAAGGGAAAAGCAGAGCTAGATGAGGGTGAGGATTCGGAAATTATCTTCCATATTAGTTTCTTAAAACATTATACAACATGTACGTACTAGATGGTTAAAGTAGTAGCTAATAGAAAGTTATAACCGGGTACACCTACTTTCCATGATAGCAGAAATGACAGCATTTTACCTGACATAAAAGAGCTACAAGTAGTGTTCAGTTTAAGTCATTAGTTCAGGATTGTTTCAACACTAAATTAAACATGATTATTATTGATCTAAGAGAAATGAGAAATCCTCAGGTAACCACAATGTCTGTTTTGTTATTTTTACAATTCTAGTTTGATAATTTTCTATTTTGTTATTTGTTGCATGATAATGTTTGAATGACAATTGTTCTTAATGTTTTAACGTTACTATGATAAGCTTTATAGTATTCTGTTCATGTTTTTATATGAAGTGCATTCTTTTTTGTTTTACAGATTTTTTGTATTGTTGCCTATGTCCCATCAGTTATACTTTTTACCTATATTGCTTCTTTCACCTTTAGAAAAGTTTTAAATACCAAAGAATTTTGGTCATTTATTTACTCTGTGGTAAGTCCCGTTTTATATTATTCCACCTTTCCATGGCAATTTAGTTGAAAATCATTGGCTGTTTTTATGATTCAACTCACAATGTTAACTTTAGAAATGTGGAATTTATGTAGATGAGTGGCCGCATTTGTCTTCTTTCCCATTAATTCTAAGAAGAGAGATAATCAAAGAATGTAGCACCAGTGTGGCAAGGATGGAAATTCCTACTGCTCAGTTTGTTGTCCAGTAGTAAATCTAGCGCACAAGACGTCATGTATCTGACTGAAGCTGTGTTTTCAGCACTTTATAGTCATGTGAATGCTGTTTAATTAAAAAGAAAAACTGAAGAAGATTGATGCCTTTGAGAGTTGGATTTGGCTCCATAGTTTATAACAACAATCCTCATGGGAACAAATTGCCACGTCTTTTCTCCACGGAGTCACTGGTGGATTTGAACCACTCTCCTTTTGGTTAACAGTCACAAACTAATCTTCATGCCCCAGGACTCCTTATGAGGCTGGATGCTACATGCAAACAGCTGGTACTGTTGTTAGTTGATGTTATTATAGCTACCATCGAGTCAACTATGACTCGTTGCAATCCTGTGAACAACGGATCAAAACCTAACCTTGTCCTGTCCTACCTTTTTAATCTCTGCCATACTCAAGCCTGTGTTACAAGCACTATGTCGGTCCTTCTCTTTGAGGATCTTCCTCTCTTTCGTTAACTCTCTACTTTTCCAAACATGGTATGTTTTTCAAAAGACTACTGGACCAATTGGTAGCATCAGGATGGATGGCGAAGAGATTGAGATTGTTCACAGCTTCAGTTTGCTCGGCTCCATAGTCAACACTCTTGGCACCAGC